GTTATTACACCGTTGAACACTAGAATAGATATTCAAAAATAGCAACGCAAACTACTACATTGTAAACTGTAAATTTAGTGTTCTGAATTGTATGCACTGAATTTAAAATCTATCGTTTAATTGCTCAATAGTGTTAATTGGCTCAACATAAACTAATCGTTTTAAGTGGTCCTATAAAATATCTAAAGGGTTGAGTTAAAATAACTTTTATTGATATGTATTTGCTTTTTTTCTACTTTAGAATAATAAATGAATTGTTAAATAAAATATTAACGTATTTTTTAAAACTGAAAATCTAAATGAAATTCTATCTGAAGAAAGTTATTTTTTGATTTATAATTAGAATTCTAGTTTTTTGATATAACATTTCATTTTTTCTCTTCAGTTGCGAAACACCCTGTATAAATACTTAACTATACTTGAATTTTAATTACAAATTTTCATTTATTTTCGGAATTAATTCAATTAAAATAAATAACAAAAATTCGGTTTGAATTTAATAGTGAAAATATTTTCCTGAATTCGTGTCTGCTTTTATGAGTTTTTATCGTTTATTCTTCAAACGAAATTGCTTTTAACCTAGCTGAGGAAGCGGGGTAAAGAGACACGGTGAAAGGAACTGTTTGAATGTATTATCTTATATTGTCTTATATCGTTATCTCTTGAGATTATTAGCTTGGCAACATGTTGTTTAAACGATCTCTTACAAAAATAATAATAACCGACGCAGAAGTATAATATGATGCTTCTGCGTACCATTTCTACGTCATCACCGTTTCGGGCATAGCTTTAGAATATTCTTGCAAGCCTTATAGCAGTAGGCAGTGCATGAGTGTATCTCGTTTTTGCTGTCCGTTGGTCTATGCTGTCTATAAATGGAGACGACGCCTAAAGGTATTTAGCCCTAGTCCTTAATCAATTTTCATTTGATTGTGTGGAATGTTTCTATTTCGTGATTTATGGGTTTCGATTACCGTTGCTTAGATCTTTTTTGAAGTGATGTCTTCGTGCATCAACATGGGAGTCCATCTTGACATGTTGCCTGTTCGTTCATCTACTGTGAATTTTTATAAACCCTTAGTTTATTTGAGGTCGAATAATTATGGTTTTGTTAGAATTTTTAAATTTTTAAAACAGGTTTAGACGATGATTGTAGATTTTTCGTATCGATGTGACCACGCCTCAAAAAATTGCCTTCGTTTTATAGCCAAAATATGTGAAATATTTTTCAAAAATATTACTCTGCCTTCAAAAATTCTATATTTCTGTTATAAAAATTTTCATTTTTGCCTTGTTATTCTAGAGTTTGGATTTTAACTTGTTTTTTTTTTTTTTAATAATACAGGCTTGCTGTGTGATAACAACCTAGGATTGGATGGACAAACTACTTACAGATGTAATGTCTGTGACAGTGTGACTTATTTTATTTCCAAAAATGCCTCTAATGAGCTGATTGAAAAATTCATTGGACATTGTTAACAATGGTAATTATCATCAATAATAAAATAACAAAACCTAGTGAACATATAAGTAATATTAAATTGTTTCAACAGGTTTCCATTAAAAAATAAAGATGAACATAAGGAGGTAAATCAAAAGGACTTGAAACGTGGAGAAACAGAGCCCCACTCATACTTTCCCCTTTTGGACTTGGAAAGGACAGTTGTATTTATGAAATGGTTTGTGAATTTTTAAATCTTGTATTTCGTTAGTTTGACAATAATTACCACTACATTTTTTTACTCTTCTGAATTGTAGTAGTTAATGATTAAGTTTGATATTTTGTAATTTTACTGATAGTAGTTATAGTTCTTAATATTTTAATACATAATATTTAAGATGAAAGTAACATTAAATTGCTTCAACAGGTTATCATTTAAACACGTTAAATGAACAAGGAGACAAGTCAGAAGGATTCGAAACGTGGAGAAATGAAGCCCCTTAAATGTTTTTTAGAAAAAAACATGCAGTCCAATTCACACTGATGTATATAAGGTTGCGCACGTGATTTGTGTCTTCTGCTCTGTGGCTCATTTCACTATCGATGGTATCATTATTCCTTTCAAAAGTATCTATTGTTAGAAGCACTCTCTGCTGTCAACGCTTAGGAATAAAACTCGAGCACCTTCGGTAATCCTCGGGGTAAGCAATTGTTTTACTGTACTTTATTTTCGTAGTAATTTGTAATCTTTGGCATCTATGGTTTTCCTTCTGTCAGTTATATATTACCCACAGCAACTTAGACGTGAATCTGTGATATTTGGTATTTCTTTTAACAATTATCTATTGTCTAAATCATAAATTAGCTCTGTATGCATCTATGATTAGTTCTATGCTATGATGCAAATTGACACTTGTCGCCATTTTATAATTCTGTCATTTTACTTGCGTTTTGATGCATGTTTTGTTGTATTTCATATGTTATTTATGTGAGTGTAATTAATTGGTACCTTAATTCAGGTGTTTAATGCCTTCCGTAATTAATAGTGTAATTAATACGTTTTTTGTTCATTTCTGCAGATTGTTCAACAAATGGGAAAGAAATAAAGTTCAGTTTGGTCCTACTGAAACAACCAATGTCTACATGGGCATCAT